ACGCACGCACGCACGCACGCACACACACACACACACACACACACACACACACACACACACACACACACACACACACACACACACACACGCCAGTACGTCAGTACGTCATTCCTGAATAACAGATGTTCTAACTTAATCTAAGCAGATCTAAGAAGTTTAGAAGATCTTAGAGATCCTTAGAATTAAAATATATATGATATATAATATGTCTAGATAGAAGAAATACACCGACTTTATTTACACCGGTTACCGTGTATTCAAGCACCGTCTACCGACCCACAACACACCGTTTCCCGCCCCTTGCACACCGCCTCCCTCCCCCATGTACACCGTAACACCGCCCCCCCCCGTCCCCCTCTCATCACACACACGCCAGTACATCATTCCTGAACCACGCACACACGGCAGTACATCATTCCTTAAAGTGGATAACCTCGTAGCAAAAAGCCTATATACACCTGCTGTGAGCATACTTGCAGTATGCAAATATCACGAAATGTTCGTATTGAGCCAGAAATGTGCTTCGAACTAGAGGATTTTGAAACAACGTTCGACAGAGTGATTCGGCGTATATAGATACACATAAATTATGTTGAGCGAAGGGGGTACGCTAGCGCAAATAGTTCCTGGAAAGAAAAAACCATATATTTGTTTGCTGATTGCATAAGTAATGTGGATATCATGTGATTTAAACAAATTTCACAGTTCTGTACTGAACAAACATATAATAATGAATTATAACTTGTTTTATCATAGAAAATAACAGTTGACGATCGCTCGGCTGTGTGCCGGATGTGTAAACATCACTGTGGCGCTACTTTCGTAAGACAAGTACTCGTTTAGATTTTGTGAAGAAATGTTATGAAAGTAGCAATACAAATGAGATGTAGTGAATTTTTGCAACATAGACCAGCTCAGTGTAGGTATATCTATTCATTTTGCTGCGAGAACATGCCGTTTTAACCACGCTCCGACGCTAGCACGCCATTACTGCCCCACGCACCCACGCTAGCAGATCATTACTGCACCGCGCACCCACGCTAGCAGATCATTACTGCACCACGCCCCACGTTAGCGGATCATTCCTGCACCACGCACACGCGCTAGCACCTTATTCCTGCCCAGTAATCCAGCATTCCCGCGGGATGCGCGTTTAGTTTAATCAGAAGTAGATAATATCCTATTAGACCCTATTATCTACTTCTGGTTTAATCTATCGCGGTCTGCGCCCGTAGACAGACAGCCATGGCTGTCGCTACTGAAGCCTTGCTCTCCCAAACGAGAGCAACTGCGTCGGCGGGACGACTCCATCGCCGCGCTGAAGCCTCGGGTTTATCGGTCTCGCCTTTCTACAATATATAGCGCCGTAGCAAGCCAGGTTCCTGAAGACATTACGAGAAGCCAGTGGGAAGAATGATTGGGAGAAGGCAGGGCTAGGGACGGCGTAGCGAGACGCGATATCCTACTATCATCGATGGCTTTTTATCGGTATAAGCCAG